TTGATAGGTCAGGTGGTATCTCTAGGTTATGGTTTCCCTTTTTGAATAAGAATTATCAATGTGGGTAGCGACGTAGCGTTATTTGCTTTGCATAACTCTACATTACCAATTCAACTAAGTAATGACAGATTTAAACAGTTTGGAATATTATCTTGTATGAATTGATGAGTTAAGAAATAAGTTTGAGAGAGTAGTACCAGCCTGACCAATTCACAACTTCAGTGGAAGCACAAGTCCAGTATCCAATACAAGTTTACACACTATTTATAATATTACTTAATTCTGTTTTTATGTTGCATCAAGTCTATTTATTTCTTAGCATAGATTTAATTGGTTTTTAGCAGAATTCAGAATTGTTTCGTAATTTATTTTGCCAAACCTCCTGTTACATAACAGACGTACCTAATTTACTCCTTTGTGAAGTCAGTTTACCTTCAAATACCACAAGTACATTCGCCATGAATGATATAAGTCACAGTATGTTTTCTACGTCCGTATAGAAGCAGTTTTTTCATAAAAAGGATCGGGTTGTGATCTTATTGATCGTAATTTTAATTTTATATTTCTAACTGAATTTCTGATCTATCATAAGTAGAGTTGACTTAGAGTTTTCATTTATTACCTGTTAATAAAATAATAAATCTTGTTATTTGCCCGGCAATGTACTGCACTTGCGAGATAACTGTGGTAAAACATCCAACAGACTTCAGCTTAATGTATTGGAAATATGGATTACACGTTCAAAAGAGCTTCGTAGGGATGACATGTGATTCAAGTGTCTGCCTTACCATCTGTCAATAAAAAGTTATGTACCCACCATGGTTGAATGAGTAATAGCAATTCAGTTTGATTCTAATGAGAGGGATCATACAAAACACCCTTTAAATCCAGGCAAAGCGTACTAACACTGGTAAGCCCATTTCTACCGAATTATAAATATTGTAATCTTCAATTTTGTGCAAACTGTTTTATCTTAAACTGAGTTGTATTTTATGGGTTTCATTCTCTTTTTTAAATTTTAATATAAGTTTTAGATGTTTAAATAGTGTAGCCAGTTTTTGAGAAGAGGAGGTTCATCACGATTGAAATACCCATGAACTTCACCTTTCTCTAACTAGTTTGAAATTCATCTTTGGTCATATGTATTTATCTACTTTTTCATGCAGGTGTTATACATTTAGTATCACCTCCTTGTTAATTAAATGTTGAAAAGTAATAAACAAGTACTAATCCTTTTATTCAGGTAGAGATTATATATGCTAATCTCTGAGGAGGTATGAGCCCAACTCAAAGGGTGGCACAGATACTTGTACAAATTAGTATGAGTTAGGGATTTTTCTCCATGTAAATGTAATTTGGAATACTTACTGACATTGCTCATTAGATTCTGGTGTATCACATTTTTAAAAAAATTTGTAGGAATTTGAGAAGTAAAACAGAATTTCCTTTGTTTTTGTCATGTGTTCAGAAAGTCTATGATCACAGAAATGAGTAAAAGTCAATGGAAAGACGTTAGCAAACTAGTAAGTTAAGGCTTACACAATTATTGTGACTAACAACTTTGTTACACTTATTTATTTGTTTCTTTCCTTTGCTGTTCAAATTTGATTTATTCTCTGCCAAATATTTCTGGATATCTGCATTTTGTGGATACTTTTAAACTTATCTATTGGATATTAATCAACTTCAATATCAAAGGAAAGATGCCAAAAGCCACTTGCTAATAAAACTCAAGCTTTTGAAGTTTCAAACTAATCTCATAAGTACCAAGTCGATCTTATAATCTCCCATCACATGAGAGAATAATTCATGTAACATTGCACTGGTCAAATACAAGGCACCAACACATAATTTACTCATTTTTAATAATTTAACAAGGGCACCTTAAAAACAGAAGAAGAGAAGCTGAAGTTTTTTTTGGAAATTGACTTGTGATAGCAAAGGTAGTCCAGATTGTTACAAATCACAGTGTATAGACACCTGGGGTCAGATTAGAATATTAAAAAAATAATTTATTACATAATCACAGATATAGCCTTAAGCCATAGATAACCCACCCTGTAACTTTGCACCAAAAATCAACAGCTTTTTGAAATTTGTTCTACTAAATTTGGTTAGTGCTTTTTCCAGACTTTCTGGTGTTTTTCTTATATAATTGCTCTTTTCCATATTCAAAACTTGAAACAGCTATAGCTGCAAGATAATGCATACTTGTTAGTATGAGGAATCAGTTTAGCAAAGAAACACTTCCTAAATAAAAAAACATTATACAACGTTAACAAACATGTTACTGTTCAAAGTACACTTGTATCTTCAATTTTTACTATTTGCAGATTTTATCATAAATAACCTCAATGCATAACAGCCTTGTAGTATTATGTATGTATTTTTGGTAAGAGTACTTACCAAAAAATATGGTTCAAAACTTCTGGATTACAAATTTCATTGATGTCATTAAAGCCTCAAAATAATCATTTCTGATATACTACAGCCAATATGCAATAATACACTTTCATAATATTACTGAACAATAAAAAAATTAAAAGTTTTAAATTTTAAAAAAATCTTTTAACTGAAGTGTTATATAGTTTTCTTAATAACAGTGAACTTTATGAAGTTATAATTGTCATTATTTTTCAGGTGTTTAAATGCACATCATGATATAAATTGTGTGACAATTTTATATAATAAAATAGTGTATTTGATAAATATACATCACATACAAGTAATTTTATTGGGTAGTATTTGCACATTTTACACATCATACATTACAATATTCACAAAATAAATCACATTTATATATTTATAAAATGAAAAAAGAAGAGTATTAATCAAATACCACAAATACTGAAAACAGACAAGCAAAACTTTTGTCGCGCTTCATAATTGGACATTAATTCCGAAAGTACCAATAGTTATTAATACACAGTTTAAGTGTAATATATTATCAGCATATTCATATCAGTTACATATCATTTAGTTTATGAATACATGATAAACTTCTACAGTGAAAACTGAATACAAAGAAATTTCACTGCATTCACTTATCTTATAGTAAAAGAATTCTAGTAATACCTAATACATTATTAAAAAATTTTCTGAGTAATCTAGCCATTATATCTATATTTGCAAAATAAATGAATATTTAAATACAGCTCTTGTCAGTCACCAAATTTCTCAGTAATCAATAGAAAAATATTTAGGGACACCATAACTTCATTTTACGAGTGCTTTTAATAAAGAATTAATTCAGGCAGTCATAAATGCAATATCTATATATGCAAGTGCATCAATATTAAAATATTCACAAAATATCTGAAGTTATGTAATTTTGTGTCATAGCAGTAGTGTCTAAATTTCAATCGTTGTCATAGTTAGTAGCCTATACAGTCACCTAAATGTAATTACTAATTAGTACACTTTGTCTATTATTATTAGTTGGATGATAATAATAACAATAAATTAATAATTATGCTAAGACTATTAACCATGTCAATGATTTATATCAATCTCAACAACTTTACTGTATCTAAATTTCAATATCAAGAGAAACTATACAAGATACCAAAGAAACACTTCCTTTATACCTCATAATTCTCACATGTAATCTTATATGCATTTTAAAAATAGGCTAAAGAAATGCAAACACATTATTACTTTTATCTTGTAAATATGTAGCATTATGCTTTTTTTTTTAATTTGCTTTCCTGTAGTACATGTTACATTCTTATACATTACAGATATACAAAATATTTGGACACTTAAAATTCTGTAATTATTCAACAACTATTTTGTATGTACACTAGACACATATATTTATCACAAATACACAATATATTTTTGGTAAATAACAGTAATCAAGAAAACAACAAAACTCAACTTCTAATCATTCACATAAGGACGTATATTTGTTTATTATTTCTATGTGATTAAACATACTAATTAAGTTCCAGTCTTTAGGAAAATAATTACAACAGCACTTTCGTAACATGAATGCTAGGATAAAAATGTTGTATTATAAACTGACTTAGAAACAGACTAGATGAACTAAGATAAAAACAACACATGGAAGCTTCCATGGAATTGTAATGAAAATATACGTACTTGTAAAACATGAAAATATTTTTATATAAAAGTAATCTGATTTTTAAGACATGGAAATCTTTTAAAAAATCAATTAAAGCCCAAATGACACTGAATAATTTGCTCAAACTCAAATGTTCGTAAGGAACAACTGTCAGCTGGTACAATATTACATATGTATTTAACCCACTAAATCTTAAAGTTGGAAGTTTCTTAAACCTTAATACACTGGCAGATATTTATTCACACAGGCACCTAAGAAGAAGGGAATGTGCCACACCACTTTGAATATTTTTTAGCAAAAAATATTCCAGGTTACACTTCTTTTGTCAGTTCTTTCTTACCCATACCCTGTACAGTATGTCTCAAATCTTTGTGCTTATGATGTTACAAATATATTATGTATTACTGAAAGAAACTTATCATTTTTAACCTGTTCTTTTTCAGATTACCCTTCAATATGGGTAGGTCTGATTTTATGTTCCGAAATAATAAGACTGACAGTACCACATCAGCTAAATAGGTTTATAAAAGGGATTTAAGGTATCCATAATATCACTGCATAATCCTGAAACAAGCTCTGGATCTTTTATTTTTGCATCAAATAATGAACAGTTTAACATTTAACAAGACATTTAAACAAATATTGGATTACTAAAATTAAAATCAGTATTATTTTGTAAATCTTCATATTAAGATGACCCATTACAATAATAATTCTACTAAAGAGATCTTTAAATTATTTATTTGATTTTTAGAGCATTTTTTGGTTTGTTTGTGTTTAAGCACAAATTTATATAAAGGGTCATCTGTGCTTTACCCACAAGTATCGAAATCTGGTTTTTACTGCATAAGCCCTCAAGCTTATTGCTGAACCACTGGGGGGGGGGGGGTATTTCTAGAGTAACATTCTATTGTAAACACACAATTAAAAAAAAAAAAAAAGAATTGTCTTACTAGTTAAGGTGAAGTTATATCACCAAGTCTCATAAACTCAGTTTTGGCTTCAGGTTCATAATTCTTAGACTCTTACAAGTCCTCCATTACTCCTCACCCTTAGCTTGACTAACTATTGCAATGTTATCCCCAAGCAATAGCAATTTTACACTTAGTTAATACATGTTGAGCAATTCTTGATGAATTCTTAACTTACTGAAGACACGAGTACAGAGCCACCTAGCAGTAGAACATACATATAAATTAGTAGATGACTTTTATTTTTAGGTATCACATCCTTGAAAAGAAAAATAAAGTATTATCAAAATATACTTTAATACATTCTAGTTTCTATCTGTGAATAAACAATGTCCAGAATTGAAACTAAATTATTTTCAATATTCTGTGACTTTTGCTCCAAATACCATAACTCTTACTAGTGGTTTATGAAGTGCATCAAGCTTTAAACTTTTAGAAATAGTCATATTTGTGGCTGATGTTACTATCAAATTCATTTCGTTTACTATTTTATTTAAAAATTCATCCCTCAATGGCACAGCTGTAAACATGCACTTATACTGCTAAAAATTAGCTTTTGAGACCTGTGGTGGGCACAGCACAGACAGCCCATTGTGTAGTTTTGCACTTAACTAAAAAAAAACAATTTAAAAAGTCATGTTAATGAATTTTCAGAGTATTTCAATAATATGCACCCAAACATAAGATATACAGTTGAATGTGAACACAAATATAGTTTGTCATTTTTTGGATACTTTAGTATATAACCAGCAATGCAGCTTAAAAAGTTTGTATATGTTGTAAACCAACGTTCTCAGTACTTTACACCCATTAAGATAGTTTTGTTCCAAAAACATATAAAATAAATTTAGTTAAAGAGGACTTGTGAATCATGCTTACATGTCTGTAGACACTTATTCTAAGCTACATGATGACATACTTTGTATTAAACAGTTTTTGGAATGCAATGAAATCAATAGGAAATCAATATCACCAAAACACTAATTACACTGACCACCCTAACATTTTAAAGCATGATGTGCCTGCGAGAGCAAGAGCAATAGTTTTATTGTATTTTGGGTAGTAGTCACAAAATATTAAAAAGATTTTTTCAACAGGAGAAAGAAATGAATTGTGAGCTTTTTATCATTATGATTGATTATTATTTGTGTGTTTCAAGGCTGTAATGCTTACGAATAACAAATAATTTTTCATTTCCAAATGTACATGCCCTGGATGTGTAGAAGAATAAGTATGCTCTGCCTCACTGCTAGGTGGCTTTTATTCATTTACAGGAAACTTGAGAATTAATCAAGTATTGAATGACTACTATTACTTAAGTGTTGGACTGCTACCACTTATGATAACTTTGTAATAGTTAGTCATACTGAAAGTGAGAAGTAACTAAGGTTTTGTGAGAGTTGAACATTGAGAAACTTGAGCTGAAACAAAATTTGTCACTTCTCCTCAAGCTATGAGCTAGTATCTTTTCCCCCTTTTTTCTGTTCAAGAATAATTAATATAAAATTTTAATTGCCTTAAAACACACCTCTAAAAATTTTCCATCATTTTAAGTTTTATAATGACAACATTTTGCTGGAAGAGCTTAATGCTTATGATTCAATAATCTTAATGAGAAATCATTAAAAAAAGGACAAGAACACAATGTGTCAAAACACAACAAACTAACTTTGCATGTCTTTGCTAGTGACTCAATTTATTTTTGTTCTCACTTTTTCTTGAGGTTGTTATGATATGTTTATGAGAGTTTTCATTATTTAAGAGGAAATATTTAGTGTTGGTGATTCATTAGTTTTCATTACTCACATGATTATACACTTCACTTTCTCATAAATGTGTGAGCCTAATATTGATTTTGATATATGTATAGTACATTTGATTTAGCAAATATGATAGTTAAGTTATTCCAGATAACTCAAAATAAAAGGATTAAAACCTGACTTCATTGTATTTGTTTTGTATGAAAAGTACCTTTTTATCAAATCAACTTTTTAAATCTCAAAAATTAACTGTAAATTACTATAACCAGAAGCCAATTTAGATGTGGTTTACAGATGAAGCAAAAATAAAAAAAAACATCATAAAAAAGAGGATAATGGAAAAGATTATGCTTTAACGAATTAGTTGAAAATAAATAAAAACATTCTTCTGCCCTTCTGCTTATGAACATCCACATAAAATAACTTAGAGTAATGTTAAAAAAGATTAAAGTAGGTAACAGCCTCTATATACATGTAATGTAATGAGATTACATATTTAACTGTTGAGAAATTTATCTCAAGAATACACTTATAATGGTGTGACAATTTGTTTAACAATATTTAATGACTAGTTACTTAAGAAACCAGTAACCTAAGCATTCAAATTATCACTTTATATAAATACTTGGTGATCCTATAACTATTAATACTTTCTTAAGTTAAGCTAAAACAGTAAATTAATCTTATTTCAAGTTGGCTATTTATTTTTAATTCATACATGAAAAGAATACAAATGACTGAATCTTCTACAGGTCACACAAAAATCTCCCATTAACTTACATGTGTATTTATTATGTAACTCTTTACACGTATCAAGCTTTCTTTAAAGCACTTTCTGATTGTCGAAGATAAACTGGTAGGTCTGAAGAGGATAATGTATTCACATTTGATATACAAGTTGAAAGGAAAGATCTTTCTTGTAAATTCAACAAACATAGATACAATTTTGTTGGATTTTCTATTTAAAAGTAAACAAATTTGTTTATTATAAGCTAAGTGCAGAACTTTTAAGTGCTAAATATTATATTCTTATATTCAAACTAATAGACCATCTAATGTACTAAAAGATTTAGATATAAACTTAAGTCTACTTACATGACATACAGATTTTCTTTACATAAGTGAACTACAATAAAATTGAAAACAAAATGATTTTTACACAATGGATACGCCTTTATTAAAATCACTATTTTAATATTTTTCAAAAATTCAACAAAAATTATGGAATATATACAAGATCAGTATCAACAATTAACAACTGCTGCAACATTACATCATGACAGACTTTAATGGGATTAATAAAAAACAATATAATACAAATAATACACTATGGAAAAGTATTCTTACAAAATCAGATATTTGCTTAAGGTTGGCTAATTAAAGATACATTTATACACCTTAGTAAAGATACAGCCTACTACACTGCTGTACAGGAAAATAGAATTGGCTGAAATACACCTATAGCCTAATCACTTTTTCACATTTCTGATGAAATGAGTCTGCATATCAGGAGTACGAAATTTGAATAAAAAGTGCAATGTATGCATTTAGCTTCTTGTAAGTATGTAAAAATCACACTTGAATTGATTTCAGTATCACAAACATTCATTATGAAATGGGAATTAAACCTTTAAAGTATTTCTGACATTTGTAAAGGAAACATTAGTATTTCAGGAATACAGAAATAACATTCCTGTCCAAGAATGAAATTAATAATATTTTGTTTTGGAGTTTAAAAGGAAATTTTTTTCCTGTTACTCATATTTGTATATTTTATTCCCTACTTATATCCAAGAAAAGCTGGATATTGACATGCATACAAGAAATGAGTAACACATATAATCTTAGACTAGGTTACGAACAATACATTATCGAAATTCTTCAAATAACAGTACTGTAGGATACCTATCTGTACATAAATTCTGAAAGACATCCATATCTGCTTTATTTATTGCTTAGTTACAAACTGTCCACTTGACTTTGTACTGTATAATTAAAGTTTCATCACAATAAACATACAGAAAATATGCCATACGTTATTAACCCAATCTCAAAATAAGATACAACAGAGAAATAAAGCACACAAGAAGTGGCATTTGCTTTTAATATATGAATGACTTAAGATGTAACTGAATATGTAATTTTTCATGGTGATTCTAACAGTAGATCAAGAAGTTGTATATTTGGAAGGAAATTCTGTGATGCTTTTAATTCTAGTGTTATAATGGAAGATATCTAATTTCAAATGTGAAATTCAACAATATATCAATATATTATTGTTTCTTTTCCTATAACTACAAGTAACGTAACTAATTAAGAACAAATACATGAAAGCTGGATTTAAAATGTTTTATGTAATAACTTGAAATAAAACTGCTTAAAGCAACCAAAATAATATTAGTTTGGATAACAAGAAAATTTTGTTTTTAAAACAGAACAGAAAGTTTACTCCTACTTGTAAAACCATACGTACATTTCTTTTATTTTACTGTTAACTAAAAATAAAGTATTATTTACACATTATAAATGTACTGGTTTAACATTCAGGTATATTACCCTCAAAATTGATGGTGAATTACTTAAGTCTGTAATATGTTTACATCACATTTTTTTTCTAAAATTCGTATTACAGAGCAATTAAGTATGCAAATTGAATTTCGTCATATTCATAAGACAGATAATTAAAGGTACTGTGACTGTTCACTAGATATTTTGCTTACATAGTCTTTAAAAAAATGTAATAGAATTAGACAAAAAAAGTGGGTTTTATTCAAAAATAACATTTGATAAATAACAGCAATGGCTAATATTCTAAATTACTGAAGTCAGTCAGCTTAGCTAAACTTTTTGATAATTGTTATAAGGGTTTGAGTTTTAATTCTTATAATATTCACCAAAGGTTACAGAAAAGTAAAGCACAGAAACATTTATTTTAGCAGGAAAAAACAAACATGAAACCTCAAAAACCAAAAAGTAGTTATGTATTCTCTCTTTCACTTCTTTTCAACTAACAGTTTTTACAACAGCGTCTAAAGTAATGATATATCAACTAATAAAAAGACAATGTAGGCTGCTGTTAGAATAAAAATTGTATAAAACAGAGAAAGAGTCAAGCATTTAAGAAGCATAAAAATGCAATTTAAATGTGTTAACCTGCACAGTATTCACTGCTGTTAATATGCTGACCTATATCATAAGGTAATGGAACTATTTGCTCAACAAGGAAGGCAGGAAAATGTTACATTAAAACTCAAACTGTGGTAATTTTACACAATTATGTCTATTTAGCTATATGCAGTATATTTCAAGTTGAACTGAAGGTTACAAAATAAAGATTCAAACATTTTCATTATTTTAATAAATTGTTACTGTTAATTAGAATTGTATACACTTTATCGTGAGATGGTAAAATATGCATGTGGCCAGCACTGGGATGGTGATGTAATTAAAGCATGAAGGATAATGAAACGTTAAAAACAGTGTTAATGTTACCTATTTAACAGTTTTATTTGTTTGCTAATATGCTGAGGTCTTTCAGTTTTCTACTTTCTGTGATCAAATCACTAAGATAATATTAAGAATTAGATTACTGAAATTCATTAGTTGTGTAGTTGTATCATGTGTGTATGTGTGTTTAATGTCCTAATGATACAAAAAGAAATACCTTTCAGAAAGGAAATTAGTTTTTAAAATAAAATACCTAAATGTTTAACGTGACATCATCTCCTGCCAAAGTTTTGTAAAGTCAGGGAAAAAGAAAGAAAAGACAACTATTACTCTTTTTTTTTTTGAGTAATTATGTACGAAAGAACTTCAGTATATTCTTAATGATGATACTAAAGTTGGTATTCTTCTAAAAGTTTTTTTACTTCTACACTGAAGTCATTAAGGTGATGTGGAACCCATTTCTCTATAACATTGGACACAATGTTATTATTATATGATGACAGATAAAGTAATGATGTAAAGGCTGCCTCCAGAATATCCCATGAAACTAACAAAAAGAAAAAAAAACTCTTTTAAAAACTTGGCTACCAGCAATAAAATTCAGTTGATAATATCAGTGAACAATGTGTTGGTTCAAAGCTTATTGATTAATGCTTAAAAATAAAGATGTTTTCATTATTTATGACTCCTTTTTTATATTATTTTGCACTTTTTTATAAAATTTAAATCAAAATACAAAGAATATTCATAAAATTTATATGTTTTACCAGTTTATATTTTCTAATAAACTTTCTAAGCATTCCCTAGATGTGTATGCATTTATAGATAACATTGAACTGACATTTAAACAAGAGGGAATCCTCAATAGCCATGGCACTTGAAATTCTCTTATGTAGGATTAGAGTTTATTAATCTACAAGACTTTTTTTTCCTTTTTATTAGCTATAATTTTGTGTGCCAGCAATACCAAGCATGGGGCATGCTTATATCCAATTTAATTTTATTACTCATCAGGATCTCTACCAGCTTACCCTCAAACTGAAATTCTTTTAGGCAGGATTAAAATAAATTAATTTATGAGACCTTGGGCATGGTCAAATACATCAATCAAAAGAGTTGGACCTCCTGAGTTCAAAATTGGTCAACAGATGATGGAACTATGAGCTAAAGGTTTGTACTTGAAAATTCAATTCTATGAGGCTAAAAAAACACCTACAAAACAAAACTCCAATTCCTTTTTGAGAAAAAAATTCTTCATTACAAACCTTGGATATTTAGAAATTTTGGGTCTTAAAAGAAGTATAGCTAAAGATTTTCTCTAGTTAGAAAGATAAAGATACATACTCTTATTTCAGCTAAAACATTTCCTTTTTAACTATGGCCTAACTATTGCAATATTGGATATTCATTATTTAACAGTTTCTAATAAAAACTATTTTAAACCAATTACATATTTTCTGAATACTAACCACCTTCAGATTGCAGTAGAGTTTGGAGTGGTACCATGATCCCCTGAATATTCTCTCTATCCTTCAATGGACACAACTGACACAAACTCCCTACACAAATAAAATGAGATGTAATAAAAAGTATGTCAATACACAATTTAATAATACACACACCTTTTAGTTACAATTATTTAAAAAGGACAATCCACTCTGCCCTTGTAACTTACTGTTCTGCCTCCTGAGCATATATTACATCAAATTCATTTTAATAGTACAATCACAAAAGAATTCTACAATGGTTAAAAAAAAATGATACCTAGTTCTATAGCTGATTTTGTACTCGAGCACTCTCTACCTCTGTATAACAGCATTCAAATCATGTTCAACTTATAGAACACAACTTTATACAGCAGTTATTATATCATGTATTTGTTTATAGAATGTATGTAAACTAGAACAGTGAGAACAATATTTCTGCTGTAATGAACATCAGCAGGTTTATCATGAACTCCATTTATCTTGAAAATTAAATTTTTCACAGAAGGAAATGTCTTTAAAATTAGGTATTATTCTTGGTTAGTTATTCTTCCAATTTTTCACATCAGTTGTAAATCACATTTATATTAACATTATAAATAATATATTGTAGTGTTATCAACACTGACAGTTCATTATTTATTTTGTATTGACTAAAATATATCATTTTACTGTCAAAATACTGTAATTTACTCTTAACCAAATATTTAGATTAAATAAAAATTGATATATTTCCTCCTTTACTAAAATAAACTGAAATTAGCTTCTGAATGTTGGTAAACTTATACTAGTAAATAATGTTAACTAAATGACAGGTTTACTTTCAATAAAAAATGAATGAAAAGCATGAAATGTTTTGTTTTTGCATTTTCAAAATTCATTCTCATTTGAAAATTACATTGCTCTGTTCTATCTTTTATAGAGTACGTAACCTAGTGCTGTTCAATATTACATCCAGAATATTACCTTAGGTTGTTTGGTTTTATCCAGAACATTAACTTGTAATGTTCAGCATTTTCGTTGGTTAATTATCATTTTGTTGTTCAGTATTTTTACTCACTACATTTCTGTTGTGAAATACACCCTCTGCATATTGTCTAATGTTGTTCTACGTTTCCAGTTTAGATGTGGTGACATACGAATAACAGAATATACCTACATATAGACGGCAGTATAATAAATTATAACTGAAAATAAATTCATGTACACATGAAAGCATGGTGAGATTTTATAAAGAACTTTAAAACTAATGAGTTTAAAAACCAACTTTCCATACCTGACTATTCGTACAAGTGGTATAATAAAGTATATATATCAAAATTTCTATAACTGACTATACCTGCAGTAGTAATATAGTAAAGAATATGTCAAACATTTTCATACAATATACTACTTACATATGGTAGTGAAGTGAGGTATATAAAATATTTCTATAGACTGATAAACCGTATCTACATATAATAGATACTTAACTTAAAATTACACCTTATGTGACAAATGGACTGAATGGCCAGGTCAGAGACTCTTAGATTTCAAGTATAACTGTCACTGATTTTGAACTACTGACCAGAGGTAAGGTAGCCAATCACAGAAACTGCCATCACAAGGGCTTTTTTCCAGCTTTTAACTGAATAATAACATGATTGACTGTCACTCTTATAATGCCCTCACAACTGAAAATGAGAAGTGTATTTAGCAGACTGGATGACACAAACCACAGCCTAGTAAATTAATTACTAGGCTACACCTGGCCCTACATACAACAGTATGGTAAGATTTGATAATTAAATAAATTAATATATTAAACCATACAGTCATGTGATTAAATTTGAAAAACATTTCTATGACAAAATGTACCTATACATGATAGCGTAATGGAATATAACAAAACAGTTCTATGATTAAACATAAGTTAATATATATATATATATTGTACAGATAGTAGTATGATTTGACAAACATGTCCATAAATTCATATATTCACTATATATATGATGATTAAAATACATACAAATGATGACCTGAATCAGAAAATTTTCCAGAAAATTACCAAGACATATTTTTATAGACAATTTCCATTTTTCCAGAATTTTTTTTTGTATAAATACCTTGATTTTAATTTCTAATTATTGCATTTGAAATAGCCTAATTTATTAACCTACACATTGCAGATATAAAAATATGCAACATTCTATACTTAAAAATAAATTATTGTGTGATCTAGGTTACTGAATGCTTTCATGTGATTTCAAATTAGAATTTACTTTTTCATATTCTTTTATTAGCCAACAGATTCAAAAGTGTGAAATGTCTGTAACAGTCCTATGGGCAATTTTGCAGTTATTATTAATATGTTGATGTAACCCACTGTAATTATTTGTGTACTCTATAATTAAATCTAAGCAGCTTCAAACAATAACAGGGAGTACCTGAATTTCATGTTCATGATATGACCACTTGATTTGTATGATAACTCTTTTCTTTGGTAACCACTTATGAATGACAAAACTTTAAAGTGTGTTAATTAATCACAAAATATATAAGCTTGATAACGAAATAAGTAAGGTATATATATCTCTTAACCCACTGACTACTGGCTACTAACTTTCTTAGTAGACAATGCAAGTGTGAGGGCAAAATCATTTGTGAATTGAAAAAATGATAGAGAACTTATCTTTTAATGGATTTCTGATTTTATTTTTATAAATAGTAGCATAACATTCAATTATTTGTTCAAAATTTATTATTTAATGAAGTTTAAAGAGGAATTTAATGAAAAAATTCCTAAAATACATTTTTAGACTGTAAATAAGCGCCCTCTAAGAAGAAATGTTTTTTTCAAAAATTTTTTTAAGATATTTCCTTTCACTTCAGCGCTGGTCCTGCCATCTATGATTGGTATCTAAACCTTTTTCTAGTCTGTTTACTTTATAAAACTGCATCTGGGCATGTTAAACCTCAGTTGTAGAACTTTTAGCCAATCCTAGTCAAAAGTGTCAATTTCAGTACCAATTATTCCAATTGCTGTATCTCCCATTTGACAAATCATAGGATGATAAGGAAAGCACGTGATTAAACGTTGTTCTCTGGATTTTACAATATGAATGGGTGGTGCGTGCTTATTATGGTAACTGCCATTTAATGTAGAGGTTGTATTTAGTACTGGCCAATAGGGCTTTTCTATAAGCATTAGAAAAGTTGCTTCTGGAAAAAACTGCATGGGATATACGTGACTTTTATTTTTTTTATATAGTAGCTTAAGTCATGCTGCATGGTATATCTGTGTATATTAATCATTATATTGAAAAATTAACTCAAAATAGATATATTTTTTAGGAAAGAAGTTGATCCACGATTGTTAGGGTTAAGAGTTACCGAGTGACGAGTGCAAAGTCTTTACATGAATTAGACTTAGGACTTTGAACTGAAAGAGTTTGTGATTTTTTATATTCTTTTGAATTTAAATTTGTAGTTTTTAGCTCAATAATTTAGCATAATTTTGTATTTAGTTCATAATAATAATAATATGATTCAGTATTTAGAATGAAAAACTTGTGTGATTTGTACGTAATACTATTAGTACCACAAAATAATTTTATATTTTTCCTTCTTACAATCTTTGCTTTGTAGTAAGACCCACACTTCTGTTGTTATTGTGTTAGAATTAAAACAGTCTAACTGATATATACATATATATAGTTTATTCTGATATTTTGCAAATGGTTCAAACTCAGTAATGACAACAATAAAATCCATATGTTGGTTGTGAAACAGGCTAAATACATTCATTCCAATAATACAGGGAAGCTATGACATTCTCACAGTTGGGGTCTCAATACACTGAAGAGCTTAAATTTCACATTCCAACATAAATCTTGCCTGTAATGAGAGGAATGTGACCAGGACTCATCTTTTAAGTGCTGTAAAGTAATTTTCCTTGTAATTTATGGTGTCTGTATCGTTTGGTAATCTCTTCTAACAGGATGTATCAAGTTA